AGAATAATGTACAGTCTAACAGTATTCCAAGATAATGGGATAATCTGGTTACAGTTAGTGAATACAGACACCTGTGGAAAATATTTTTATATGAAAACTAACAAAAATATATCCCATTGTTTATTTATATGTAAATCCTTGAGATGGAACTGAAAGATGCATAGGTAAAACTTATCTTTTTAAGTATGACCGAGTTTTTATTAGGAAGGCTGGCATTTTGCATTGCTCTGAGGGACTGGAGCAACTGCAGACAGACTCATTGATGATGTGGCATAACATCAGTGACAAAAGACACAACGACCCACTATTTGCAACGTAAGACTGATACAGCTCCAAAGACTGACATCTTTGGAATCTGTAGTTTTAAGAAAAGTACTTAATTTTCTTTCTTTAAAAAAAACAGAAGTAAAGGAATTAGGATATCTCATAACCATCCACCGGTCTACCCACAGTCCATGTGCAGTACCTCAAACCACCACTGTACCTTGGGATCCAYACAGGACTGCAGGAGAGCTCAGCACTTCCTCAGGCATGTCGCAAGCCTTCGGTAACTAGGAAACATTATTAAAAAKAATGTTTTGAGTCCTAGTTCTGCAGAATCTCAACCATTATTATTCTGGTACAAAAAAGCGGAATGTATTCCGTTGTCTTATCCTTATTACCTGTGAAGAGGGAAGATGTAAAGGTGAAGCTTGTAAATGGGTTCTCTGATCTTAACTGACAGAAYTGTTTTGGTGTAAGGCAAGAAACTTGCAGCAAGACTTGCCAGTGTRATTGCCAAACTGAAGCCTGGACTCAATGTCCAATTCATATGCCAAGAAGAACTATTTATGAGGAACTATCATTTTAGCAGATACAATTTGTTGTACAGATGAAGCACATCATCTTACCAGCTGCCTAAATCTGCTCTGSGAAGAAATAAGGCTAAGCTGTTAAACCCTTACTTTGATCTAGTATATGGATTTAGAAGCTCATTAATTTTTTTTATGTTTTCTTGAGCACAGAAACACCATTACTTGCCATATGCAATGAGACAGCCTTAAAAACTTCAAGGAGATAAATGTTAAGGGATTCCAAGCAGCCTTTAAAAATGTCAGCGTGATGTATTCACTCTTTCTCTATGTGTAATGGCCACAATTGCTGTGGGCACTTTGCCTGGTGTGCAAAGCCCTTGCCACAGTGGTGCAGAGCAGCCAGTTCTCTCAGGATTGAAGCTGTGACTCCAGCTGGAGCGAGTAAGGCTGTCTCTGTGCTGGTGTCTATGTTGGCAATGCTGCCTTCAAGTAATACACGATCTGATGGTTTGTTTCCTGGGCTGGTTTATGTCGAGAAGCCAAACAACGACCAACAATAAATGAGAAGAGACAGAGACAAAAGATGGTTGGTAGAAACAGGCAGGTGCTCTTTATTTCATGTGGCACAGCATTAGGCAGACAACCCAAGAAACAGTTTCTAACAAAAACCAAAGCTATCACTTCCAGGAACCGTCCCCCAAACAAGGGTCTACTACCAACAGTGGCACTGAGATGTCCTTGCCTGTCCACTCTCATCTCCTCATAGTTTATATGCACTTAGGCCATGTCTTAGTGGTGAGTGTCCTTTCCAAGGAGACTAACTTCWTACAATACAATATCTTTAGACAGCGTACATACTGTGCAGGATCACCAGAGTACAATCTCCTCAAGCCATGCTAAAATATAATGCTAACTCTGGAGAGAAGGCTGTGCTATCGCCTCGTGTCTCTCTGAGGTAATACAATGCTGTTTCTTAGCTGACAACATGAGGGGCACCTGAGGGAGGATCAATATGGCTTCAGAGTCTATTTTGAAACTCCTGATGCAGTAGCGAGGAGCTGRTGTGCCATCGGCCGAGACAGGGTGAGGACCTCCTGCACCCCCGGCTGCCGCTGCGCACCAGCAGCACCAGAGAGCTGAGCCTACTGTCACTCAGGGGGATGGAAACAGAGATGGTCTGGGACTAGGAGGAGGAAGAGGAGGAGGAGGAGGAGGAGGTGGAGAGGGCGTGAAAGATCACAACAGACCGTCAGCTTTGTGTGGGAGAGGTAACAATGACGGCAGTGCGGGGAGGGGTTACATCGTTAGCACTCTGGATTTAAAGGCATGAAGAATGGCTGGTGAAAGGAAGACGTTTTAGAGACTAAGGGCAAAGCTTTAAAAGCCTTGGGATATTACTTTTAATTAATATCTACAGGTTATTCTCTCTATATATACTATTTTTCTTTCTAAATTATGAAAATAAACATTTATTAACAAGTCACTGGGTCAAATCCTGCTCTCCACTGAAGGCAAATCCATTGACTTCAATGGGAGGGAGCCCCGTGTAAACAACGAAGGGCAAATTTGGCCCTTTATGTCCTGAAAAGTCTGCTTGTACCCATTGTCTTTCAATCCTGCAAGGAAATACAGACTGAAAGGTGAACTAATTGTTACAAATTTCTCTTAACCTACCAAGGGAGTGTGAGTGAGGTGCGGCAAAGGAGCAAAAAAAAAAAAAAAAAAAAAAAGAACCAATAAATAATACTGCTTTAAAGATAATTTTATCCATGTTTCAGAGCAAAAATACAAAGAGAGTGGATCTGGATCAAGTGCTACTGGCCTTTACTTTCTAAGCAACGACAAAATTCTTCATTTAGCTTCGGTGAAATGTTACACAACCAGAGAAAACAGAAGGAACCAAACAATTCTTTTGCTTTGCAAACATCATATGCCCAAAGGTGAACACTGTCATCCCTTTGGATTCTCTGCTAGCTCCCACTGTCTGCACAGTGCAGTGTCAGCCGCTGAAGACAAAACACATCTACTGTGCACATGACTAAAACCTGTGGTGTCTTACAAATGTAACAGTTTGATGTTTTGAATACTAAAAACCACTAGGTGCTTTTAGACACAGAACAATACGATTTCGGATGCATTTACCACTTTTATTTCACTATGCAGAAACATACATTCACCATGTGTTGTGATGCAGCTGACAGTGTAATGGACGCTATCCCTTCCGTGGGTATTAGAGCTGGACACTAACGAGTTTTCAGTGGATGTTCTGTACAGGTTAAGGCTTGACTCAGAACTAGATAGTAGATGCTGACCAGATTCTCAAACAGATTTTTTTTTTCCTCTGAGAACAAAAGGGAAATCAATAGAAAACCATCACGGTTATTTCAGATTAATAATTTTCTAAAGCTGCAAACTAAGTAAAATACAGATTTTTTTTCTTTCTCTGAAATAACTACATATAATTTACAAGGTTAGGATCTGTGAAGGGTGACTGGAAGATGACTCTGAACAATGCTGACAAAAATCATTAAAGTTAATATACTAAAATCATTACTACCTCATAAGGTATTCAGTCAGGTATACAAAGCACACTTTGTAAGCATTTAAATGTTTTGATAAGAGTAAAGATTCATCATCGTTTATTGGGCAGTAATAAAACCAGATGAAACAAATATAAGATTCAAGTTGTTTACTGAATAAACTGTGTTATTGGCACATCTAATGTGTGGTAAAACATTATACACAGTACCTATACAGCTTCTAGCATTTTGGGAGTAATCTTCATTTACAATATCCGTAAACAAAAGGCTTGCCACCTAACAAATTTTAATTTGTTTAGACTTTCAGAAACTGTGAAAGGCATGAACTGTTTATGTGTTACATGAGATCACTGTTTATATTGTTTATGAACGTGCAGGTAAAGCTGAAAACTTAGACATTTTAAGAAAATTAAAAATGCTGCTTTTCTGTAATTTTATTGTTGCTTCATGCAATATTGTTTAACTGCTGCTGATTCAGATTGCTTTCTATGGGAAGGTATCTCTGCCAGTTTCTTTATTAACGGTCAAGATCAATTCTTCTGTACTGAAATTTTCCATAGACAGATACAAGTCAGTCAGGTTGGAACTGAGACTCCGTATAGGCTCTCGTATTCCTACTGGTATGCATGTCTGGATTCATATGCATTCTAGGTTATTCCTGCAGAAAAAAGAACTGAGTTAATTATTCAAAGCGACGACTCTCTTGCTAAAGAGATTTTGTCAATTTGTTCTTTACAGGAAAAGCTATTTGAAAATGGCATCATCCCAGTATCAGTAACTTGGACCAAATCCAAAGTCCACTGACGCCAATGGAAAGAATTAGTGACATCAATAGACTTTTAAGCAAGCCACATTGAGCTGTCTCTGAAACAATTAGCAGAATACCACAAGAATCACAGCTACTCACTCCTTAGTGACTGGTTCCATCTTCCAAATAAATAACTGACACTGAAATTCAGTTTTCTTTAGGGTCTGTATATCCAAAAGCAGGAGAGCCAAAGAGCTTCAAAAGGTGCTGTGCATTATACTCTGTTACTTACACCAAGTGCTAGGGAATACATATTGTTTTAAGAATAAARTGCTGCTATCGATTCAGCAAATCYGACAAGCAGCTTTTTCTTCCCCTTCTGCATACAGCATTCAAAGCCATTTGTGCAATGGTGCTGGCATTAAGAGCTTTTGCGTAGCAGGTTAGTATGCATGACATGTTTCTGCACACAGAATAAATACAGGAATATTAAGATGTTTGTTTAGCCAGCCACTATTGGAGAGCATGCCTTTACTGGGAGAAAGCTTGACGCAAGAAAAGCTGCATTATCATCTCATCCTGATAAACAATGCTGCTTTAAAACATAAAATATTCTTCCAAATACAAGAAAGCCAAGACACCCAAATACCGACAAACTTATTCACTGCATTTTAAAGCAAGTTGGACCATATCTTTGCAGGTTGGGAATTAAAGCGTAACTTGTAACATATCTGCACAGGACRTTTGAAAAGCAGCTGTAAGTTTTTCCCTTGGCATTTTTAATCCAAAATGCACACCTTTAAGAACAAATACTTTTTGTTCTTAAATGACACAAAAGCAGACAACAGGTTTTTTATGACTTCAGAAGTAGAAAATTAGACTGTAACAAGCATGGACAATGAGGACTTTTCAGAGAGCAWACAAAAGCAAATGAGTAGTTTCTCTTTCTCCAGCTGGCACTGTTTAATGAAGACAGATGTCTAGACCCRAATGTGGTTTACTTTCAAATATCAGAACAGATAACCAGCAACTTGAAAATGCCAGTGAGAGAAAGCGAAGASTTAAAGGTGAAATATGGCAGGAAAACAACAACTGCAACATGCCAGCCCAGTAAATGCCTAGGAAAGCCATCTGGTCATCTTACCTGTGGTCAATCCTCCCCATCTTCTGGTGTGATTTCTGTCTCTTTATGTACCACTACTTTGGTCACTGACATGTCAGGGTGCTGCTCTTTGGCTTCTTTAATTGCCTGAGCCAGCGCCTATCCCAAGGAAACCACAAAAGGGCAAAAACAAAAAGGAGGTGGAACATGCATGATCAGTAGCAAGGTGGAGAGATTCATGACATATTACACAATTTACAAATGAGGAAAATGATTAAAATATGAAATATTCCATCACTGATTTAGCTAGTATTCCAGCTTAATTTAAGGCATTCTGGTATGAATAATATGTGTCAAAGCAATGTTTAGAAATGTTCTCTTTGGCAGTCTTCAGGTTAGCCTTTTTAGCAGTCTGTAGATTTTACCTGATCATGATCAATATCTGCATCTCCTGTGATGACTATTCGTTTTTCAATTCTTGTCTCTGAGATGCCTCCTTTCACAGTCTAGATGGGAGGGACAAATGCATGTCAGTAACTTTTTTCAGAGTGCTGCTACTCATCCCCAGAATGATCAGTGCAGGAACCCTGTGATGACCAGTCCGAAGCAGATCAAACAGCTCTCACAGAGGGGACAACCCTGGACTGCAAGTGAGCAGCTCTGGAGTCAGCCTGAAYGCTCTGAATGGACTAATGACCTCCAGAGGTCCTTCCAACACAGGTAACTTTATGATTCCAGTTCATCTGCACATGTATCAAGAGAGAGGTTTGTATGTCATAAATGGCAGATTTGTCCCATGAGGAACACAATGGGAATACAGACAGCCCATATTCAAACTTATTTAAGTCCAACTGCTTGCTTCAGAATGGCATATAGGGTAGTATGGCCTTTGTGTAGCTCATYTACTAATGGGTGAACTTCACTGCCRAAAGATKAAATCCTGTCCTCAGTGAATATTGGTAGGAGAGCTGTCACAGCACTAAGAGGGTCTCTGCTTAGGGAGGAACTGTTATTTAAATGTTACCTTGGAACCTGGAAGACACAACATCATTTGTCTGTGCAGATATGAGCTTTTGGTCTGGCTGAGGGTGAGTTCCTCAGGGTACCACCCAGAACCACAGCCAAGGTGTCTTAGCTGACTGAATGTCCTGTTATGGCTACGTGACACAGATTTACTGTGTTCTTTCAACACCATGCCRGGGTAATAGCTCAGGGCTGAAAGGCATAAGCCTGTCAATGGAGCCTCATGTTCAGACAAATTATTGCTTCTAGGCCACCACATGATGCCAATGTGTTCATACTGTTTCCAGTTCCAGGGAGTATTTGCAGCTAAATCAAGTGCTTCTGTACAGCAAGACACACACCTTAAGGGTTTGACTCTTGTCAAGTCATTGGATGATGTGGTAATCAACTCAGMATAGCCAAAGACAGGTGAATAAAGACAATTATTTATGGTAAATTTACAAGATTTTGTCAAGAGAGTATCAGAATTTTTGAAATGAATCATAGAACCGAAGCTAAGAGAGCATGCACCCCAGTGAAAAAGGATCTCACTCTTTCCTGAGGACTYACTTTGGTGATATGTGTAGTAGTTGTAGTGCTGGTGGTTTCAGATGTGATAGTTTGTGCACTCATCAATACACCTGGTTCAGAATCAGCACCGCTATCCACCTAGAAACCAGAATAGAAAAACAGTCCCTGAAAAAATGCTCCTGAGCACAGGGAGGCAACTACTGGACTGGTAAACTCCCCATTTCTTTATGAAATGAGTATCTAAAGGTAGAGGATAACTGCTATTAGGGTCACCATGAGTCAGTACTTTTCTGTGCATCTCGAGGCTCTCCTTTGCCTCTGGAAGGACAGATGAGAAGCTGCAGCTTTTAAATCTGCAGTTCATCAATGACATGAGAGTCACCCTCAGCTAAATTATTCTTACGTACATCCTYCTCATGCCAATATTGAATGCTTGAACAACTTAAGACAAATCTGCACCAAAGCATGTCTTTTGCAGAATTTCTTACCTGAGAAGACTCGTATGTAATGGTTTTTGTTTCTGTATGGACTACTGGCACTTCCTTTGTTGAAATTTCAAGGGTTTCCCCACCAGCRGGAACACTGCTGAAACTGATAGTCTCAGTCTTCACAACTGGTGACTGTGTGAACAAAAAGAAGGAATTGGAACATTTAGCAAAGCTTATGGATTTCTCAGAACAGGGGTTTTTTTTGTTTTGTTTTTT